TGCGCTTGGACCGCTGTTGCAAGCTGCCCGGCAAGGAAAGTTTTTGGTGTCGCTTGATTTTTCACTTGCTTTTGACCCTTGCAGCCCATGCATGCAATACGGTCTGGATGCTTGAAAGATTAGGCTTACCACCCAATATTGGCCAAATGCTATCTATCTTTGGGCGCAGCAGTCCAGGCATATTGAGTTTGAAAGCTGTATTTTGCAGACTCTTGAAAAGGTCCAATTTTCCCTCCCTCAAAGAGATCCTTGGTCCATGTATGGCCTTATAGCCTTAATGACGCCCCCGACCGTTGAAGTGCAAACCTGCCCCCAACTACTCTCCACAGAACCTATGTGGATGATCGCAGCTGGGCCTGTGACTCCTGTGAGGAGGCACTTGCGGTTGAAAGGTGCTGGTGTCGCTGGACAACACTCCTTGGGCTCAAAGAGAACCGAGGGAATTCGCAATACTTCCACCAGTCCGCACAGGGACGTAGAACTTTCACGGGCTTTGGAATCCCTCAGGAAAGGGTTTCGGATCGGCCGTGTCTGCTCGGTTGCACATTGCAGGGTCTGGTCCGGCGCAAACTGTGTGACAAGGAGAAGAACCGTTTGCAAACTGCAAGTTGCACGCCTGCCTGTTCCTAGGGACAAAAAGCAGCGGCTGGCGGCATCAGCTGCTCTCAGCTTGGCATACCACGGGTGGCTGCAGAAGTTGCCATCCCAGGCTGATTTTCGAATCGTTGAGAGTGCTGTGAATCGGCTCTGTGAGTAGGCCAGGAACACATCACCACCAGTTCGAAAGATTTTCAGAAGCCATCGGCTTGATTTGCAGTGAACAGTGAGCAAAACCTTGTGAATGCTGCAGTGCGCCGCGTGCGGGGCGACGGCTGTAGAGCCCCTGCAGCATGGGTCGCGGTCGACATATCACGGCTGAAGCTCTTGTGCAAATCGCCTCATGCAGAGGCAGGGATGGACTTGCACATCTCCTTGGCAGTGGCAGCATGCTGTCACTGGCGCCCAGGTGTCAATTTTGGCCAGTTAGCACCCTCACTTGCAGAAGATTCGTCATGACTTGAGAGAAGATAATAGAGCAAACATGTTTGAGGCGTGGAAAGCAAGCTCGCGGAATGATGCTATACTCTGCCGAGGTATGGCATACAGCGCGTTCAGATGCGAGCATGCGCGCACCATGGCTGCGCAGGCCCCGAAGCGGGCCAGTTTCATGACCGGTGCTTTTCGATCACCGGCAGCCGATGCTGTGGCTCGAGGGAGCGATCCCACGTGCCCGTCTTGCTGGCTGACAGCAGGGACCACGGAACACGTACTCTGGCATTGTGCTCGCCTGGGGTGGCCTACGGGAAGGCAAGACGACGAGGACATCTTGAATTGGGCATGCCATGTCAGGAGTGTCGTCTTGCAGCATAGATATGCAGATAATCCTTGAATGCCGTCTTTGACACTTTGTATTTTTCAGTTTGTGTGCTTTTGTGCCGAACTTGGAAGTGTGCCACCATAGCACCTCTGCCTCCTTTTCATGTCAGGCCGCCCTCCTTTGGTTTAGTAGGACCTCATTGCCACTGAAGACCTTGACAGCTACGTAGGTGGCCGAGTTATCGAACATGACCGGCCACGTGAACGGCTGAAAAGCCGAGTGGGATAGGGCACGGCTTGCATAGGAATCCCACTGAGCACATGGGCCCCCTGTCTTCGACTACATGGTGAAAGCAAGACCGCCTTGATGCCCTTGAGCGTGCAGAAAGCGAACAAGGAGCAATGATAGCCGGAGTTCGGCGGCATCACCTGATCACGCTCCGTGGGCACATTGCTCGAGCTCGCGGCCTCGGACATGATCTCGTCCACCAGCCAGTTCTGGAAAGGGCTGATCAGCCGTTCGTCCCTGTTATCGACCACTAACAGAGGGTTGCGGTTGGGATCTTCCGCTTCGACCACCACCTGTTCCACGAACTCAGGCTTCTGCACTGCGAAAGGACCCCATCCACTTCCCCAGTCACCAGAGGCCGCCGGGGGAGCTGCCGGGTTCTCTGGGGCCTGAGCTTGCCCGAACGTGTAGAGCTGCAGCAGGCAACCTCCTCAATCGATCTTCTGACGATGCCCGCCGCATGAGACAGCGCTCATTGAGTTGACACCGCTTTCAGCTGCTCGCTGCAGCTATCCCTTGTGAGGAAAGCAAGTTCCGTCCGTCGATCGTGATCTCCGTCTTCGTTGGATGCAAGGTTTCGGTGACTTTGTTTGAGGTCGGGGCGAGGGTCTACTGGATCGGGCCACGTGGATCAGTGGTGGCCAGCGATCATGCCAGGGGCAACTGCGAGCTCCGGGTCACCTCGCGCTCGTCGACGGAGGGCTATGGCAACGACGCCGATCGGGTCGAGTTCCGGTTCAGGCAACAACCGGATGGAAGTGTGGGCGAACGTCCGTGCCAGGGACGTGGCTCTCGGTCAACACGGCGGCTCGCGTGGAAGGCCCGGACCACGCGCGGCAATTCGCGCGGTGATCGCCCCGTGGTACGACAAGGGCGAGTTCACCGCGGCGGATAATGCGGAAGAGCTCCTTGCTGGGGCTCGCGATCTGAGAGCTGTGCAAGCTTGCGAGACAACTGAGTTCGAGAGGATCAGCACTGTCAGGGTGGAAAAGACTGGGCCCGTGATCGAGGCGGCTAGCAGCTCACACCGACAGCTCCAAGGTCCTTCGCTCATCGGCATCTTCCTGCTCGGAGCCCGTCTGGTCCCTATGCCATGGAGGAGCCTCGGTCGAGTGAGCCGCGCTCGACGGCATGGTTCGGAGTTTGCGCAAGGGCCTTGAGGATTCGGGCGGTCGTGCCGCTGTTCCGGCCTGCGAGATCAGTAGCCCGGCAGATCCGCCGTGCTTCTTCCGAGCGGAACAAACAGTGCCGAGCGATGCTCTTGGCGCGCTAGATCCCGGCGCCGCTCTGCTCGTACATGTGCATGCTCTGTCAGTTTGCCTTGGGCAAGGTGCGTGCTCGGTTGCCATTTGCAGGCTCGTGCGATCGTGGGTGGTCTGCTCGGAAGATCCTGTCTGTGCCGGCCGGTTCCAGGCCAGTGGTGGGCATTGAACCTGAGGCAGATAATTCGCAAGGCGGAGGTGCAACTTCGGAGGGGATATGAAGCCACAGGGCACATGAAGGGGAACCTCCGGCCTCGCACTTGTTGGGAGGCGTCAGCTTGGGACAGAGACTCCACACCTAGACAATGCATTCAATGAGTGCCCGGCTGGTATTCGGAGGGAGACCTCCCAGATGGAGTACCGGGGTGGATGCTAAGTGGCGTGATGGTGTACAGTGCAACACGGTGAAGGACTTTCCACGCACTAATGCCAGCCTCGCAGTCGCTGTACTGTGGATACCCCTTTCCTCACAAGCTGGGGTCCCGACCATTTGTGGGGAGGCTTGGGGGAATTTGGGGCACGACGCTGGCCGCTTGCCGCCGGCGCCTGCCCGTCGGAGCCCTTGCGGAGGTCAGCTGGTGGGCGGCGCTTTCCGCGGCTGCTGTCTCTGGCCTCGTGGCAAAGAGCAGGGAGCTGCGTGCTTTCAAGGGCTTGCGGGCCGCCCGGCCTCAGCCGCAGCAGCAGCCCTGCGGCCTACGGAAACCTTCCAAACCAAGCGCTGGCGGTGCCGACGCACCCCCCTGCGGCAGGCCCAGACGGAACAAGACTCCGTCCCGCAGGCTTGGCCGACGGATTCGAGCTGCTGCAGAGTGCAGGCCATGGGGATATGATCTAAGGTCTATCTCAGAGCTTACAGCCCCGACTGCCGGCATGCTTTGGAAGCTATGGAGGAAGCACTAAAAAGGAGGGAGCACGTGCTTGCGTGCTCGCAGACAAGTTTCAGTACTCCAAGACAAAACTGCAGTACTAAAGCCTGAAGCAGTTGGCGGGCAGTGGCCCTACTGTGAAAGTTGAAAGGCGCGAGCGGAACTCAGTTCGCAGCGCCTACGTTGGAGGCGGCCGCGGAGCCGTAGCAGGCGCTGGCCTCGTAGGCCTGTACCACGCCAATGCCGCGCTCGTTATGCGGCATGCGGGCGCCGCCGTCTTTCCAGCGCAAGTGGTTGGTGGTGTAGCATATTGCTGCTTTAGATTATTTTCTTGCTGTGCATACTGCATGCTTGTTGTCTTGGTTAGCAAGAGCGAGAACGCCGAGGCAATAGTCGGTTGTGCACTCTTTGTTGTGATATGCTTCACTGATCGATGAGGCGACGGAGCATCACAGCTTCTCACTGGCTAACCACCACCAGGTGTTGACACGCCCGCTTGACAGCGACACAGCTGATGCTAATGAATGAATGACAACCCCTCTCGTGGTGATGTCGCGACGATACTCCCAAGCGAGTTTGAGGACCTGGGAATATCTCTTCTGGTGTTTTTCGTTCGGATGAATGTGGAGTGATCGCCAGCTCATCTGGCACGCCCCTCCGGTGATCGGAGCATCCGTTCGGAATGATGAAGATCGGAGATGTTCGAGTTTTGATCTGTGGCCGACTCAGGTCCTGCCTGTGAGACTCTAGGGTTTTTCAGCGAGTTCTCGAGCAGTAAAGATCTAGTAAACTGGTCTCCTGATTATCGGTCTGGCAAGTAGGAATAAGGACCGGAGGTCAGTTTACAGATCGTAAGAACAGCCTGGATCACTTATGTCCGTGGCCATTATGGCGATCAGCCGATCGGCCCGGACTTTCGATCCCGTTGGAGAAATCATTTGTATGTGCGTGAACAGAATTGAAAATGAAGGCGCGTGCCGATACACACATCCTCTCCGCTCGGAACTTCAAAACCTAACCTTGAGCTTGACACGGAAGCCTAAAACGGAGGAGGAATGGTGGCAGTTTCGTGGCACCTCGCGGCAATTTTTTTGGAAGGGTTGGCATATATGTATGTACACACTTCCGCAAAAACGTGAAAGACAAACAAACTTAGGTATACCGCAACATGCACGGTAGACGTTTATCAATGTGTCAGATGTAATTCGCAAACATGTGCCACACAAGGTCAAGGCAAAGATCCAGGACAAGGAAGGCATCCCTCCGGACCAGCAGCGCTTGATCTTCGCTGGCAAGCAGTTGGAGGACGGCAGGACACTTTCCGATTACAACATCCAGAAGGAATCCACACTTCACTTGGTGCTGCGCCTGCGAGGTGGCATGCAGATCTTCGTGAAGACCCTGACGGGCAAGACGATTACTCTGGATGTTGAGGCCAGCGACACCATCGATAATGTCAAGGCTAAGATCCAGGACAAGGAAGGCATCCCTCCGGACCAGCAGCGCTTGATCTTCGCTGGCAAGCAATTGGAGGACGGAAGGACGCTTTCCGATTACAACATCCAGAAGGAATCCACCTTGCACTTGGTGCTTCGCCTTCGAGGTGGCAAGTAAAGCACCTGCTTGCAAGTATAGCGGCTTCCTGCTGTTAGAGACCTCATTTCTTAATTTTCATGTGATGCTGAAGGAAGCATGGGCATACTCTAGTCACGTGGACACGGGGACAGAGCAGGTGAAGCTATGCCGTGAAATTTTGTCTCATAGCCGGGCAACGGATCTTTCAGCGAGCGTGTGTTTTGTGAAGATTATGTTCTCGACTTGGTAGTCGCAGTGCTAGGATAGAAACAGCTTGCTGTGGAGACCGCCTGCTAGGTTTGAGGGGTTTGAGTCAGTTGAGGCTGGGTCGCGCTGCGGCTCATTGTAAAGATTTCAGCCTTGGCTTCACGTGCTGTGCTCGGATCTGCTCACGCAGCACTCGGGCAGAGACTCGCTGGCTTCTGCGGCCAAAAGCTCCGGTGTTGTCTTGAAGACCTGAAACCGGCTTGGCCATAAGCTTTGCAAGTCTTCGAGTCCCTACATGCAACTTTTCCTAAGAACAGACATGAATTGTTGAAACCCACCACGTGCACTTTTAGGGGTCCTTCTCATTGCCGAGCAGAAACGACGTCCTCCGAGACGACCGTCCTGAGACAATAAAGACATCCAAAAGCCGAACACCAACAAGAAGGGCTCTCAGAATAACGATATTGACAACTCTGGTCCCGCTGATGATAAGAAGAACAATTGGCAAGATAAGCAGTAAAAGCCATAACCTGATTATTCAAGGCCACGCTCCTCATCGGTCGCCGGGGCCTCGCACCCCGTCGGGCCTTCGCCGGTGCGGCGGCGCTCGCGGCGCTGCGTGGCAGAGAAGGGGAGTGGGTTTAGGGCTTCTGGGTTCAGGGATTGGGTTTGGTAGTGCCTTGAAAATTAGGTTTAATTGGGCTTCAGGGTATAGGATGTAGGACCTTAGGATTTAGCTCCTGTGGGGTTTTTTGTTGACTTCAGTTTTCAAGAGTTGTAGTGTTCATTTAGAGTTCATGGTCTTCAGTTTCCTGTCTAGGCTGTTGCTAGTCTTTGGGCCCTATACATAGATGCCTGTATAAATGGAATGACCGTTTTTTGTATTAACGGCAATCCCCATAACCGGCGGGTCACTTGGCCTACAAATTCCGCCAAGCAGATCCGAAAGAGTCTTTTCAGTATGATTCTCAGACACGATGAGAGAGGGGCGTAACGCGCGGTTGTTGCGCTTTAGCTTGCGCCCAAGCTGCGATAGCGGTTGGGTCAGGATCTCAGGGGCGGCCAGTTTGGTGTCTTCTACTTCTAAAAGCGATGTCTTGGAAGAAATGCACCAGAAAGCTCGAGGACTCTTGAGGCGCAAAGCCCAATCCCCTCGAGGATTCACTATGCCTTGGCTTCGAGGTTCTTGCAGGACCTGGGGGCCTGCTGCCACTGCCTGGATGCAAGAGTTCCTGGGTTTTTTACAGGGCGCGTGCCGTAGTGATTTTGGCTCACGAGCTCAGACATCCAACGCATCCCCGCCTATCTCTCGAAGCATGGCAGAGGCCGAAGCCGTGTACCGCTACGAGTCCGGATATATTGCACATGCCCCGAAAAAAGATTATGGGCCACTGGACTTCACGGGAAAAATAGCGGGCGGTCTTCGCCTCGACATTCGCCGGAGGGCACCGTTTTTCTGCAGCGATTGGACCGATGCCTTCATGCCCGAGAACTTCCAAAAGTCGGTGTCATCCATCTTGTATTTGTTCCTCAGCTCTCCAATGTCAGCATTTGAACATGTTGGGTTCCACATAGCTCGAAACGGGTGTGCTTCTCTTCAGGGAGTTTTCGATGTCAGGTTCATCGCAGCCCTGGCCCCTGCGATTACCTTCGGCAGCCGCTTCCTCGATGGCACCAACGGCCAGTTTGGAGTGCTGGAGATGATCATGTCGACCTCCCTCAGCGGGATGATCTTCTCCTCCACGGCTGGTCAGCCCTTGTCGATTCTCGGTGCGACGGGCCCTTTCCTGGCCTACACCCTCGTCGTCTACGACCTGGCCATCGCCGTGGATGTGGAGCTCCGAGGGCCCAAGGAAAGCACACGTTCTTTTTGCAATATAGACAATGAGCAAAAGGGAGGGTTTCGTATTTTTTTCCGGGAACCTAGGTTCATGCCCTTCTACTTCTGGACTTGCATGTGGTGCTCCCTCTTTACTATCTTGGTCGCCGTCTTCGACTTGTGCGCGCTCATGAAGCACGTCACCATGTTTTCGGAAGACATCTTCGCTGGATTCTAGGCCTCAGGTTAATCAGTAATAAAGCATGTCTGCTTTTTTTCTGGGTTCCGACCACAATACAACTACCTCAAGAAAGGACATGATTATTTTAACGAACAGCGTAGGATTGATCTCGCTCATCTTCATCATCGATGGAGTGAGGCCTCAAGCAGCAGGTAGAAAGTGCTGTGATGCAAAAGACGGGTAGTTGTCACGGTCGTGGTGTGAGTTGTACTGCAACGAAATCAAGAGCAACAGGGTTTGTCCAGTGCCAGCTGGCAGGCCAATCATCGAGAATTTTTCGGAGGAAAGGATGCCTCTTGTGAGCGCCATGTTCGAGGCACTGCTAGTAGGAGGGCCTGATGTTCAGCGAGGCAGCACTTTAGGCCTAGCATCCTCTCAACAATGAACTGACGAGGCGCTGCTGTTCCTCTACACTTTCGGACTTGCAACATGGTTGTCCGGATTTCGACGAAAACCGTGGTCCTTGCGATTCATCCGCAACTTGGGGGCAAACTTCGCGGTGACTATCGCCTTGGTGACCGCTTCCGCTTGGGCCGCCCTGTACTCCAACGAGACCAACCTGAGGATGTTGCAGGTGGACGCAGACTTCTCCCCAAATCTGGTTCTGTCCGATGGCAGCAAGCGGCCCTGGATTGTGAATCCGTCGGGCATCGATCGGCCATTCCCAGCTTGGGGCATTGCGTATGCGATTCTGCCCGTGCCTTTTCCTTTGATACGTTTGTCTCTTGTACTCTGGTGCTGCAGGGGAGCATGTTCGTAACTGATGTCCCTCGGGTCTCGAGCACAACCCAGGCGATCGGATTCGCGGTCTTGGGCTACCTGGATCAGAATTTGACATCCGTGATTGTGAACAGGCCCTCCAACAATCTGAAGAAGCCCCCTGGTTACCACCTGGACCCGAGGTGGCAATTGGACTGTTTTGGAATTATCATTCTTCTTAGTTGAAGAAGCAGCTAGGTCTCACACCTTCATAATACAGCATCTGGACGGTCATTGTTGCGTGTAGTGCTGCTTGAGCCGAAATCAACATAAAAAGAATCCGAAGTTTCTCGATAGTTTGTTGTTTGTGACTTTTCAATTTTTTGTTCTGCTGTTACGCGATCACAATGTATGTCTTTCTTGTTTGGTTATTTTGCTGTGTTTGTGTTGGCCTGTAGCTTGTGTTTTGTTTTTGGTTGTTTTTGCTTGTTGTTGCTTGATGTGTTTGTTTTGCTTGCTTGTTGCATTTCGTCTTTTGTAATTTGGGCATTGTGCAAATGAGGGGACGTGTTTTAGGCATATGATGGACCGGAATCGCCACATGACCGGGGGGGGTTGTTTAAGGCAAATGATGAGCCGGAATCGCCAAATGAGCGGGCGCGTGTCTCAGGCACATGATGAACCGGAATCGCCAGATGGGGGGATGGGGGAGCCGTATTTAAGGTGCATGATGAGCCGGAATCGCCAAATGAGCGGGCGTATTAAGATATATGATGAACCGGAATCGCCAAATTGCGGGGGAGGCGTGTTTAAGACATGAGGAACCCGAATCGCCACATGAGGGGGCGTGTTTAAGATATATGATGAACCAGAATCGCCGAATGAGCAGGCGTATTTTAGATATATGATGGGTCAGGAATCTTCAAGCGAGGGGCGTGGTTAAGATATACGCCAAATGAGGGGGCATGCTTGAGATGTATGATGAACCGGAATCGCCAAATGAGGGGCGCGTTTAAGATGTATTGATGATGAACCGGAATCGTCAGATGAGCGGGTGTGTTCAAGCCATATGAGGGGGCGTGTTTAAGATGTATGATGACCCGGAATCGTCAAATCGGGGCGTATTTAAGTCATATGATGAACCGAAAGCGCCACATGAGGGGGCGTGTTTAAAATATATGATGAATCAGAAGCACCAAATGAGGGGGCGAATATGAGGCATATGATGAACTGGATCGCCAAGTGAGGGGACGTGTTTTAGGCCTTTGATGGACCGGAAGCGCCACATGAGATGGGGGTGTTTAAGGCATATGGTGAACCGGAATCACCAAATGAGGGGACGTGTTTTGGCTTTTGAAGGAGCGGAATCTCCGCATGAAAAAGCGTGTTTAAGGTGCATGACGCACCAGAATCGACGAAAGGGGGCGGGGGGGCTGTTTTTGAGGTGCATGACGCACCGGAAATTGCAAGTGAGGGGACGTCTTTAATACACACGTTGAGCCGAATTAATCGCCAAATGAAGGGGCGTGTTTCAGATATATGATGAACCGGAATTTCCAAATCAGGGGACGTGTTTGAGATCTACGATGAGCCGGAATCGCCACATGAGGGGGGGTGTTTAAGGCATATGATGAACCGGAATCACCAAATGGGGGGCGATAGTGGGCGTGTGAAAGATATCTGATGAACCGGAATCGCCAAATGAGGGTTTAGAAGTTTGGGGTTTAAGATATGCGACGACGTCGGCATCGTCGTTCGTGATTGGAATGAGCAAGGCGGTTAGACGACAGCGACACGGGCGTCTGGAAACGTCGACAGGGTCGTCGTTTGCGGGTTTGAATGAGCAACGCCTAGACGACAGCGACACGGTGTGGAATGGACACGGCGCCCACACATGGCCCACAGAGCCGAAAAAAAGATCAGATAATTCCAGATCCAACGTAAAACAGTGCGTTTGCACGCTGTTTGCGTTGTCGTACTGTTTGTGCGGTGAACCCCTCAAGGAATTGTCTAGTTGCTTCATGGGTTTGTGCATAGACTGCTTGGGAGCCATTAAATCGCCACCCAGGACCTGTTTGTGCGCGGAGCACTCACACTGCCTGTTTGCGCCGTGCTGGGGCTCCCACTTTCAGTGGCCTCGACTGTGCCGAGCATCACCCATGTGATCTCTCTGACCACTTACGATGTGAAGCAGCTTCCCGAAGGCGAACGCAAAGTGCCTGTGAAGGTGGTGGAGCAGCGAGCCACGAACTTCATCATCCACATTCTGATCGGGTGCGCGCTGTTCTTGGCACCTGCCTTGAAGTTCCTGCCGCGTGCGGTGCTGCAGAGCGTGTTCTTCTACATGGGCATTGCGTCTTTGACAGGCAACAACCTCTTTGACAGGCTGAAGTTGTGGCTGATCTGGGACCCGGCGAAGTACCCTCAGTACCACTACGTCCAGAAGCTTCCGATCCAGCGTGTGCACTTGTACACCCTTGTCCAAGCCTGCGCCTCGGAGAATCCAATGGTGCTTCATGTGTCCATGCTTTGCGGAGAGGTCGTCTGCCTTGGCATCCTCTATGGCCTGAAAGCCATCAAGGACAGGCATCAGCTTAGTGTTGTTTGTCATCCAAGAGATTCCTGACAGCCCTCAAGTAGACTGGTATAGACGATCGTCGGTAAGGAGATGCTTGCTGGCTTCACTCGTTTGGCCGAGAGGTTGTTCAGTCCTAGGTCCTAGACCCAGCTGGTGCCCGTCAAAGGAGACATCCGTCGTGTTCCCGTTCTTCATGGCATCGCTGGCCATTATTCGCAAGGCAGGATTCTCAGAACCCTGTTGGCGAGTAGATCCTTGCGGAAAGGGGTTGACAACCTGCTGAGTGCTTCGCACCAGCTTGTGCATGGCCTCAGGGTCTTGGTTTGCTCTGCACCCCATGAAACGAACGAGTTTTCCGCGGGTCAGAGCACTGCATCAAGCAACGACTCCATCTTGTCCGCCCATGGAAGCCGGTGCATCTGCCGCTGTCCCCAAGGGCATGAGGTTCATGTTCACCGAAGAGGAGCTGAAGCAGCTGGACTCTTTGCCGGGCGAGGATGAGGAGGAAGAGGAGGCCAGGACGGAGTCGCGAAAGATCCAGGAAAGTGCGTAGGCCCGGACAGTCAGAACCGCGCAGGCCCCGGCATCGAAGCCGGACCTCTTGAACCTGGAGACGAAGGCTTGAGTTTTTGTCTGTTGTGTACTGCATTTGGTGATTTAATTGAGCGGATTTGCCAGGACGAGACCTCCACGAAGGACTGCCGAGGGTTGCTTTCCAGGTGCCGTGAAGTTGAAGTCTCATGCGCGCACATTGATGGAGCCCAGCCGTGGTGCTGAGTCGTATTAAGCGTCAACATCAACCGAGGAGGAGTTGTCGATCTGAGCGCACTGAGCTCATCCCCACCGGGATGAGAATTGTTGGAATTTCTTTGGAAGCCCGGCATGCAGCCCAGGCTTCCGGGGGGGTTTTTCGCCGGTGCTCACCACGAGCAGAAGGGATTTTCACCCTTGGACCAGGAATTCATGGGGAAACGGCACAGAAAGCCTTTAAACGAAAGGGGCAGAGCTCTTGGAACAAAGGAGCCGTCTCCTTCATGGAACGAGGAGTCCAAGGAATCCCATCCGGCCAATTTCAGGCTTCGGCCTTGGAATACCAAAGTTGCCCGAGACTGAGATGCGTTCCTTTTGGGAGTATCTTATGCCTTCGCGATCAAGACAAGGTTGTCCTTGATTTCGGTGCCTTCCCTATCTTAGAGAGTACTCCCATGTTCTGTCTCGGCCTAGGTCTCTTTGACAAAACTCTAGGTTGGTCTTTGCTGAGCCCACAACAGGTGGACTCGGCATGGATCGTTTTGTAGCTCACAGCACTGACTGGCAAAAGGCCTCGGCTAGAAGCAGTTGCCTTTTGCCTCGCATTTTGAAACCTCAGTGCAGCCCTGAAGGGCGCGCGACACTCTTCTGCTTGCTGCTTGCCGAAGGCATGGAAAGCCTGCAGTACCGTGTCAGACCCCACAGCTCCATACTCGTTCTTTGGCTGAATGACACCAAAAACTGCCCGTGGCAGTCGAAGCCACTTGCACAGTGCACTCACTAGGCCCTCTGTCATCCTTCGCGAATTCGCGCCTCGCCCCAAGGCCCCAGTGAGCGTCACTATAAGTTGACTAATTCCGCGTGTTTGAAAGCCTCCGGCGTTCCGGCCTGTCCTGGCCGGCTTGAACGCCAGGAGACTAACGAGTCGCTTGAACCTGCAGCCTCCAGCGCGAAGCTCAGAATAGAAGGGCAGCAGCATGCGTAGAGCATGCCTCATGGCTCCTGTCTCTTTCAGCGCTTCAGCGCTTCCGAGGCCCGACGGGCCGGCTTTCACGAGTCAGCCCAGGGGGTCAGGCCAGGCCGCAGAACTCCGGGTTCCGCGCCCGGGAAAAGCGATGTGTTTTTACGCTTTTTTATCTCTGATAAGTCTTATATGAGCGGTACAACAGACACTTTTTTTGTAATCAGAAGTCACTCCACAGTCCTGCTTTCTCGTTGCAGGGTGCTGGAGCGCTTCTGGCTCCCGCGCTTCCGCCGAAAGAGGGGTCAGATTGCCTCAAGAGTTCAGTCATGAGTGGGCCACCGGTAGCTTCCTCGACGGGTCGAGGGCAGATTAGTGCAGCAGGGAAGTGACGATCTCAACGATGCAACGATTTCAGGATTGGTGTTGTTGCCAACACAGCTCCTGCTTCTAGGACCACTTTCTACTGTCTACCTGTCCAGCTTTGCTGGCATGCGACGTACAGTTCTGACGCACTCCTTGACCAACCCTCGAGTTGGAGATGCGCAGGCAATTGTGTACAGACCCAGAGGGCCATCCCTGAATGAGACTGGGTTTCAACATTCACCTCACTTCTTTGACTTTTCTCATGTCTCAGGTGCTAGTCGCGATTTTCACCCGTCCGCATTACCACAATCATCATCATCGTCGTCGCCGTCGTCGTCATGATCGAAAGTGCCGCTTGCAAAGCTGTCTTGGGGCAACTATGGTGGTGCCTCGATGAGTGTTTCATGGCTTCTTCTTGACGGTTGACATGAATCACACGCTAAGAAAGGGCCGCCAAATTGGCGACCAGAGCAAAAAAACGTACGATGTCCCTCAAAACGACTCATCGGCCCAAGCCCCAGCCCAAGCGGCCCTAAGGTTCAATTTTGGCGGCTCTTCACCGCCGGTCCAAGGCTCCGGCGTCGGGCCGAGCTCTTCGCGCTGCACTGCCTCGTCGAGGGCAAGGCAAGGACCGGACATGCGCTCCGAGCCACGTAGGTGTAGGGGTGCGGGTAGGGACCCGCTGACACCCTTACAATGTGAAGGGCTGCGTGTCGATCTATTTTCATCGAGTATACTTAGGTGCGTAGATACATAGAAAAGATATGTTTGGCCGTTTGGCTTTACACCACTTGGTGTCGTGTGTCGCCAGGTCGTCCAAGACCAGGTCGCCGCCCTTCAGCTGAAACTCGGCTGGGATGCCTGGGGCCTGGAGCGGTTTTCGGTTTTGGCGCCCGTGTACTTCGATGTCCTTTTCCCGGGGCCACATTCGCAAGTGTGTCCTGTCCTCTACGTGGCCCTTGGGAGTCCCTTGCAAGCTGAGTGTGGGTGGGTGACCGCGTGCCAGAAGACCCGGTAATTTCAAGTTGATGGCTGCCACTGGGCTTTCTCTCCGCCTCAGAAGCGATACATACGACCCCAGGACATTTCCACGACCAGGAGCCCTTTCAAAAAAAGGCCAACCAGGCTTCGATGAAGCCTTGCGCGCTCCACAGCAGCAGTCAAAGCCACCTAGCTGCGGAAAGACAGCAGAAGTATGTCAAGGGCCACGAAGCGCAGCACAAGCAAGCCTGGAATCCACATCGGAATCCGACCGACGAGAGCAAGGAAAGCTGTCTTCAAGTGCGCAACCGACCCAAAGCCCAGAAACGAAGTGCGCGTCACGGCCTCACGGCTTCGTCCCCAGGCTGGCGACCGGGCCTGGTGGACCTCCGGCCTGGGCATGACACTGGCCTCCGGTCCGGTGCCCGGTGCAAACGCACACCGCCCCCGTTAATTCGGAGCGGAGTTTGAGGGTTTCAGGGTGAAGCTCGTGCTTGCCTGGGGCAACGGAGATTGTCAGGCTTGCTGGGGTGTTTTTCGTCGATGCCGGAAGCAGGCCGCCACAGTTACAGCGAACCCGAACCCTCAAAAAGCTGCAAGGCTTCATTTTTGTGGCTTACTTGGATTGAGCAGGGCCTTCTCACCTTGTCCGCCCAGTTGGCACGCAAACGGTAAGCAAAAAAGTCAGGTGGCCTTTGTGGACCTCTTCTCAGGCGCAGAGCACAGACATAGCTCGACCACTTGTGGAGCGGTTCTTTTCGGGTTCTGGGCTTCGACGTAGTCCTGGTTTCTCAAGCGGGGATCAATCGACCTGTCATCTGTAGCTGCCTCCCAGTACAAGCCAAAGGGATTCTCATTGGGCGGGGACGACAACGCTTAATGATGGCTCGGGAGAGCGGAAATCGGGGCTTCGAGCTGTGCTTGGCGGCCTCACGGCCTGAGCTGCGTGGAGGCGGTTGGGCGAATATCGCTTTCTCTCCGCCTGCCACCTGGCGTCCTTCGCAGCCTTCCTCTGCTTCCGGAGGCATGTCAGGAAGACGTGCACAGGGCATATCAAGGGATGGATGAAAGTTCAGGCAAAAGCAAGCAGTCTTTCCCTCTGCCCCACACCCTCGATCCTTTTTGCAAACCACTCATGTGCAGCCGTTGCTAGCGACGATCCTACGCAATGTTCAGCCTATTGCCGAGCCTCAAGCCATGAAAAGGAGAGAAGATCCAGGGGCCAGATCCTGTGCTCAAAGCCTCAAAGCTGCTGCTGCTCTTCAGGTCGCGGCTTGTCACAGGCCTGGCGCCCCTGAGCCTCGGAGGTCAGCGTCGCTTGGTCTCCGCAGCCTGGCTCGTGGAGGAGGTTGGAGGTATCGTTTTCGACATTGATAGGGTGAAGGGGTTCGTCTGACCTCCAACCCGGACAAGCTGGTTTCGGGGATTGAGAGACTGGACACAGGCAAATGCGCATGTTGAAGCCATTTGCTGTGCCTCTGCGCAGGCTCAGCATTGGCTCGAAAGAGTTGTTAAAGTCGCTTCCTGTGGCGCTGCGTAGTGGGCAGCTAAACTTCCAGACGTCAGACCAGACGTGGGCTGTGGTGCAGCAAAGGGGGGTGCCAAGACATCATGCATGACGTGCAACAGCGCACCCGTGCTGGACATTGCACGGTTTTGATGCGAGCTAGCTGGATGCCTGGTCCGGCGACCCTTGCAGGCGCAGAGCTGCGGTGTGGGCCGCGGCGAGGCAAGGTGCTGCAAGCTTCATGGGAGCCAGAAACGAAAAAACAGAGCATTGAGGCCATGTTACGGCATGAAGCTCTTGGATTGTATCGGATAAACAGGAAGTACTATCAGTTTCGGATGTGTGCAGAGTGTATACGTTGGAAAGACGACGCGAGCAGCGCAGAGGTGGTGGGCTGGATGGCCAGCCTGCGCGCAGCCTCCGAGGCTTGCCACCAAACCCAACTTGATCAGTACCTGATGGCTTGGTGGCACCCCTTGCAGCTTTTGCAGTTGGAGTCCACGCCTCTCACGCAGAAAGCGCAGCCGCACAGCTGGCTCCTGACAGGCCTTTGTGTCCTTGCTCTCGCAGTTTGTTTACCAGCGGGCCCACGCTCAGGGCGTGCCTGCCGAGGCCTTGGCTTCCTCTTCGCTGGCACCAGCTGTTCCGCTTCAGGGCTTCCGCTTTGCGGGTTTGGGAGGATATGGCTGCTGGTCCGAAGGAAAGTGACCCTTTTCCACACGTGTAATGGTCGGAGGGTCCAAGGTGGCTACTTTAGACGCCTTGGATTGCCGAGGCCAACGTCTTCTTGTTGCCGAGCCTTGGAGATGCAACGACGGGAGGGTCCTCAAACGGTGTCGTCACAGAAGAGCAGACTCTGAAAAGTCCGGCCGAGATGTGAGCTGTGAAGTGACTCGGTCCCGCAGCGCGGCTTCGCCCTCTCTCTGTTCAGGAAGCTGCTGATCCTCTTTGCAGAACTTCAGCGGACACGCATCAAGCTCATCGACGACGGCGATGGCGCCAGGCCACCAAGTGACCAGCTTTTTTGCGGCTGCGACAGGTGAATTGGTGCCAGAGCTTTGAGCTTACCTGAGGTGATAGCGGGCCCGAACTCGTCTGCACACTTTCAAAACCTTTCTGAAAATCTGTCAAAAAGGGCAGCCCCTGGCCCCAGCCATGTCCCCACTTACAGACGGAGAGAGACGCAGACTCCCGCTGCATCCCTGAACGTTTCCCGCTTCCTTTCAGTCGCCGGCTTCTTCCACGCTCGCCAGGGCCC